GTTCCGCATAACACCCATCAACCACCGCACCATCGGACACCCGTCTGTAGCCAGGACTCCAGGTACAGCAAGTGAACTCTTAAAAGGCAATAATACAAGCAAGACTTAAAAACAGTAGGAAAAAGCAGATCATGTAGGCCAATAACAAGACCAAATGATATTTTAAGTCTCTTCAGCCATCAGAGTTTTTTGTGATTGCTGCTGGTCTGATTACTGTATTAAAAATCTAATTTTGTTTTTCTTTTTATCCTCTTAGGTGAAAGACACACACAACAAAAAAGCAAATGCACACATTGACACACACCTGACACTGGCACATTCATCCATCTTCTCTCTGTTTCCACTTCCTTCCTCTCAAAACTTTCTAAAACTGACCCCATTTAGATTCTTCTTATAAAACGCTTGATTTGTCAAAATAAGTAGATTATACATGTTGTAGAAATTTTACTGGGCTAACTAGAGGATTTATATTTGAGTAAGATACATTTTTCCCAATTTTGCAATGCTATGTTTGCAGTATAAACTGGATTAGAACCACTTCAGATTCTTACAGAACGTACTTTTCAGGATGAACTATTTCGTTGTTGTTTTTTTTTATTTATTTACTTCAGAGGTGTACTATTTTGCAATCTGTAACTGTGGTCTCTTGCAGCGGAACCACGCAACAACATGTACCCTGCTGTGATTGGAGCAGCAATAGGCGGGATGCTCTTCGCAGCCATTCTCACAATCCTGCTGCTCATGTACATAATCCGCAACCGCAACAACAATCCCAGTGAGTCTTAGACAGGGGAATCACTTTAGCAAATGCAGCATGTAATAATAAGGCCACTTAAACATTTTTATGCGTTAATGTTGTATTTTTGTTCCCCCAGGACTGCATGACCTGCTGTTTGGCATGTGAGTATCTGGGTATTGATGTTCGTTTATCCGTATGAGGCTCAATTGCCAAATAAATAATCCATGCCTTTTTTTCCTGTTTGTTTATTTCTAGGCAGCACAGCCAGTCAAGAGAGAACATTAATTTTCCAGAGGATGAAATGGTCAGAGGGTCAGATGGAGGGATAGAGGACATCGGGGGATTATCAACTGCAGGCAAGTCAACCCCAAAAACTGTTTCTTCTGTTTTTATCATTGACATAACATTTTGTTAAGAATCAACAGTTTATTTAAAAGCCTTTCCACCAAAACTGTTTCACACTATTGAAATTGACAGTCTTTGATCTTTAAACTAAATCCATTCTGGAAAAATCAGATGTTTTATTAGTCCGATTTTATTGTTTTTCGTCATGTATTGTTTTTCTAATCTACAGAAACAGCATTTTCAACAGGTCACACTGTAAAAACACAAAATCTCACCAACTGTTTTTGGTCCATTTCTAGTGAAAATATCCTAATATGCTTGAAAAAATATTGGGATACTAGAATATTTGCCATTAAGCTCATATATCCTTACAAGCTTGTTTTATGTCTATAATTCATTAATAAAAAATAATGGTTTCATTGGCAGATTATGTGCCTTACAAAATGGGGAAAAAGTCTTATAAGTGAAATAATCTTCCAATGGAACTAGCACTTTATTTAAAATCAGTTTTAAGGAACCAAACAAGCTCATATATCTTACTGACAAGTTGTAAGTTACGTTTATCTAAATTCAAATTTACTAAGATATTTGCTCTATATATATATATATATATATATACACACACACACACACAGACTCCACATTAGTTATAGTTTAAGATTTATTTACACTTTAATGACAATATTAAAACCCAAAGACTGATAATGTATTTTTTAAAAATTTTGCTTTACATTATAACTTTTATAATGCAAAGCATTTTGAACTGTCTTTTTGCTGAAATGTGCTACACAAATAAAGCTGGTTGTACTTTGAGAGCCTATTTCCTTCTCATTTACTGGATGTTGATCTTTTTCAGGCCCAGCCGTTTCTATACCCAGGGCATCCTCGCCCCTCACCGCGGCACCCAGGAGTGCCACTCCCACCCCTACCAGTCAAGCCCCTTCCTCTGGAGACGATAACGAGCCAGTGAGCGTCACAATCACAGTCAAGGCTGCAGAATCCTAGAGTAAATAAACCAGCTGAAGTTTACGCTGGAGCTCTTGTTGTAGATAGGGTCATGCATGTCGATTTGTCTTATTTATCTAACAAAACATTTTGATGTTGGTTTAAAAAGGTCAGGGACTGCAAAAATGAGCTAGACGGTCAATTTACTATGTATAATATGTACATGTTAAGTGTTTTTTTTTTTTTTTTAGCTTTTCACCTTAGCAGGCGTCCGTCTTCATTACACATTAACCTCAAATCCTTTCAGATTTCCATATAGGATAGTAATACGCGTTTGTGTATCAATTGAAATATACAATTTTTTTTCCATTATCACAGATCTTTATTAATTTATTCAGCTTTGAACATTAACATATCAAAAACAACCAAAACACTTCAGTCTTTATGAATGGCCGACTGTAGAAAACCATGTGATTTATAAAGTCCTGATCTTTCAAGTGTATAAAACAAACAAGTGTTAACAACAGGAACATGTAAATATATACAGTTTGTCTCTAAAGTCCATGACAGTTTTTCTCTGCTTATTATGTGATGGGAAGTAAAATCTTCTGAGTGCAGACCACATCTCCGAGCTTCTGCTTTATCTTCACGAAGAGTCGTTTGAACTCCAATCCGTCACCCTGAAAAGGCAAAGTCATTTCAGCGTTTTAGAGCAATGCAAACAAGAATTCCCAAAATGCATCTGATGTATACTCTTAAGCGATTAAGCAATATTTGTACAAAAAGGCAATGACTGGTTGCAAAATCTGTCTGAGTAGCAGGACTAATTCGCTATGGTGCATCTCAATAACGGCTCAATGACTTCCTTCCATAAGATAAATGCAATTTAAAGATAAGGAAAGTTTTCATCTTATATGTCCTTACATATTTATGTGTTTTGGAGGGTTTTGTATGTGATTTTTTGACAGAATTCAGCACATAGTTGTGAAATGGCAGGACATTTATACATCGCTGTTAGTCTGATTCCAAATCAAAACACTGAAAAATTGATAGAAGTGAAATAAAGAACATTTTTCTTCAACACATATAAATCCCAATAAAACAGACTGAAGTTGTGGTTCTAATGTGATCAAATGAGGAAATTACTTTTAAAAACTATTTTAAATATGTGCTTGCAGAGCAAAAAAAGGACAATAATTTTATAAATTTCTGTTGCTGCTTCTGCACTTTCCCTGTATTTTCTCTGGTTTCCAAGCCTGTCTCACTTTGCACGTTCAAGGTTTTAGAAGAATTCAACCTGAATGCTCATTCACATGGAAAACCACATTCAGGCATCAACCTGAAGCGTGGCCGCTTACCTTCGACAGTCTGAAATCCAGCAACACTCGCTGATTCATCTCCAGCAAAAAGACCTTGAAGATTAGCTTGTTGTTACGTTTGTCCAGAGTGCTCACAGTAACCTGAAGAGGAGGGAGAACTTTATGAACATAAAAACGCACCAGCTCCAGTCAGAGGAGGCCAGTGTGAAGGCAGTCCTTTATTACCATCCACTAAAAAAAAAAAAATAAAAAAGAGAGAAAGTGTTTACCTGTTGGGTGCAGGTGAGTTTGAAGACAAGTGCCATGCCGTCACAGACGTCTTTCAGGGCAGATAAGGAGGCGTCGGCGTTCACGTTGGTAAAGAAGCGAGTCATTCTTCGGACTAATCTTTGCCACAGTGACTATTTACAGAGAGAAGCATGTCAACAAAGTATTAAATGTGAGTTTTTGTTCATTTTTAATACATTTGCAATATTTTCTGAATGCGCCGTACCTGACTGGCCCCTGGCGTGCCCAGCAGCTGACTGCCCAGCAACATGTGCTCAGGTTTAGTCGGCTGGGAGAAGCTGACCTGCCCTTCAGTCGGGCCGAACAACAACATGGATTCCCATCCACCTGGAGCAAAGTCAGGCTGAGAGCTGGAAAACTGCATCCTGTCATCACTACACACACGGAAAGATCATAAATAAATAATATTTCGGCTAAATCTGTTTGAAAACATCACTTTGTTCCAAGGCTTGGACCTGTTTGTCCGGGATTTAAGCTCCAACTCCGTTCGAAGAACTTTGTTGGATCCTGATCTCTGACAACCTGGAGAACAAAATTCAGAAATCAGCCCCGTGAAAATTAACCCAATAAGACACATGATTAAAATAACATCTGAAAATAACTAAAACCCTTTTTTTCTTTAAAGAGAGTAAAAAAACAAAATTAAGAAGTTAAACTTGCTCTAATGGTATAATAATTTGGCTTAATCTTTATGTCTACTAACATAAAATACAACAGAAGGAATTATTTGCTCTTTTTGAAAAAATGATGCTGATCTAATGCTACATGAAGCCTGAAAGGTAAAAGTTTGTATCAGGCTTGCCTTGAGTAAACCAGCGATCCTTCTGTATGTCTGCGATAATGATTCTTGCATCAGGACGGGGCAGCAGCAATTTGGACAGCAAACCTAAGGAAATTTATGAAAAAAAAAAAAAAAGAATTAAACCTGTAGATTTTAAAACATTTTTGACATTTGATGAGTAAAATCTTTATCTTTTAAACTGACTTATACAAGCTTTACTTCAAAAACCATAAAATGCAAACTCAACTAAACCTGGAATTGATTACTGTTTTCTAAATCAATATTCTGCGAAGCAGTTTATGCTCTGGGATGGCTTTATTATGTTTTTAAAAATTGTGTTTGTGCCTATTCACATCTGAACCAGAACCCGAGGCTGCATTTATCTACAGGTCTGAAACCAAACTGATCAATGAGTGGGGCAAAAAGTCAACTTGTGATATAATTAAACATAGAAGACATAATTAAAAAAAAAAAAATTAAACATACTTTATATTCCAGAGATTTGAAATTTAACATTTTAATGTATGAATGGGGGGGGGGGGGTCTACAAATTCTAATTTTTCAAAACAATATATAATTTTTTTTATTTCATTAGTGAAGGAATGATGACTTTATAAATGATTTCCACCTGTACCTTTACAGAATACAAATTAATAAAACTAAATACATTTTAGTAAGAAAAATATTGCAATCCATGTCAGACGCAGTGTATTTTCTTTTCCAGAATTCAGTACGACACGTAGTTGTTGGTGTAGTCTGAGTCTTACTAAGAGGCATGGGCTGGATTTTCTTCCAGGGAGGTAGGTAAGTCTTCTTCTGGATCCAGTCTGAGTATTCCTGGCAGCTCTCGGTGGGTTGGTCCCAGGGCAGTTCTGATAAAGAAAAACAAACATGTTGACCAAAGGTTTCTGCACCTCAACAGCAAGTCACGGGAAATCCTCCTGATCGTTTGTGACACAGATTCTCAGCAGAAAAAAAATAAAAAATCCAGATAATTTCAATTTCCATCTCACCACTTTTGTTTCACAATAATAAAGGTGACAACGTTATTTGTATTTGTTTATTAATTTCAAACATATTTTAAAAAACACGAGAACAAGCAATCAAAACATGTGAATACATAACCAAGAACAAAATAATTTGTTTACTTCTTTTTTTCTGTTTGAAAAGAAGTAGGAAGAAGTGAACACTTATTTAATCCTACCCCTTATCTCAATTTAATGGAATATATTACTGACTCAATAATTATCAAAAATGTGTAATTGAAACCATGCTATATTATTAAGGTGCCTTTTTAATATACTGTCCCAACAATAAATTATATTACATAGACAGGATAGTTATAAACTAATTCTCATGAGACAAGAAAATCTACGGATAATACTAACAGTAGTAATGACAATTGTAAATAACCTCACATAGAGCAAAGGTTCCCTGTACAATGTGAATAACATAGCTTTTTTCTTTTTTTTTTTTTTTTTAATCAAACAATTGATTTAGACACCTTTCAAAGGTATCTGGTTCTGATGACTGAAGTTTGTGGGCAAAATGCAAAAATTTGAGGAATCAATAATTTCCCAAAAACTGAAAATTCCTACAGTCCAAATGCACCATTTGCGTCTCACCTCCTGCCAGCATCGCAGTCAGAACGATCCCACAGGCCCAGACATCTGCAGGCTGAGCTTGGTACTCCTGCTGGCTGAGAAGCTCTGGAGCAACGTAGGGCAGCGTTCCACAGAGTCGATTCAGAAGGCGCTCCCGCCCTTTGAAACGAAACATGGTGGCCAGACCGAAATCCGTCAGCTTTAAGTTGTCTAAGAGGAAAGAAAACACCTCATGAAGTATAAATATGTTAAACATGGACTCCAATTAGTACACATTTTATTTCCTCACCTTTGTCATCCAGCAAAATGTTCTCTGGCTTTATATCTCTGTGGGTGATGCCAAGGTTGTGAAGGTACTCCTGTGAAAACAGAGCAAAAACAAAACCTTTAAAACAAGTGTAGATTTTTCAAACTTTTACAGTCTGAATTGACTCACCACAGCGGCTATTAGCTGCTTGAAAAACTTATGAGCATCTTTCTCTGGCATCCCCACATCAGGCTCTATAACAACAAAAGGAACCACCCAAAAAACTTAGCATATAAAAATTATATGCAAGATGAATTTGCATCCAATACATTTTATTGGGATTTCATATGATAAAACACAAAAAAGTGTATAAATATAAAGTAAAAGGTAAAGTTTGACGATATGTTGTTTGTTGAGAAAATAAATTTAAAATAAGCTAGTTTTAAAACTTAACATGTCTTGATTCAAATGGCCTAATTGTGGTTTTGAAATCAGTAACTTATTCTGGCCTATTGACCGTTATTTTACTTGTGGTTACAGCAGATGGTTTGCTAGGATCATTTGAACTGCCTTTTGTCTGTGGGAAAACAATACAGTGGAAGTTGTAGCTTTTCACACTCATCTGTGAAAGGCTGTAAACACGGCAGGAGTTTAGGCTTCAGATAGAGGGTCAGAGATAGCTCCTGGTTGGATGAGCAAAGATACGTCTTATTTGAATAAATTAAAGAAAAGAAGATAAAACTTTCTACACAGAAGTAACAAATTAGATTTGCTCTTGCAACTCTCCAAAGATGTCTTTGCACGTCTTTGCTTTTCTTTCTTTCTTTCTTTTCCATTTATGTCAGGTAAATGAATGTATGTCTCCGTTGTTCTGCAGTTTCTGGTGTAAGTTTATGCAATGTCTTATATTGGATTAAACTCTGTAATTCTGTGACGTCAACACGCATTGTTGTTTTCCTTGTGGCCACACATGGCCCGCTGAGAGGACCTGGGATCCAGAGGAAGAGAGAGCCAAACTTTTTTCCGAAGTTAACCTATTTTAGAAATTCTTCCTTAACATGTTGCAGCACACATTTGTCCATAGAATCCATATAAAATACATTCAAGTTTGTGGATGAAATGTGAAAGAATGTGAACATTTTCAACAGATCTTGGCACTTTCACGAAGGGTTGTAGATGCAAATTTACACTGCGAAAAAATGTCACAAAAACATTCTGCAACAACTTGTCCATTACCGATACGGTCGAACAGCTCTCCTCCGGTGCAGTACTCCAGAAAAAGATAAACAGTCGGTCCTTCCTTTCGATGACCAAAGAACCTCACAATGCTGGGGTGGGTGAGCATCTAAAAGAGAATAAGTGTTAAAATGTGTAGATTGTGAGGCTTAAAGTGCAAAATAAGCAGCCTACCTTGTGGATGCAGACCTCCTTTTTGACATTGTCTGCACACTCTTTAGCCTGAGAAGTGTCAATCACCTTCACTGCCACTGCCTCTTCAGTCTGTCTGTTCACCAATAACCTCACTCTGACACAGTCAGAAAAAATAA